CAACCTTGCTGTCACTATGTGACTGCTGTGACTTGTGAACTATAAATAAATAGAATTTTACTTTATTAAATAATGAATTTTGATAAATTGCATTGTAGTTTCTTAACAATTGAAGTTTTTAAGGATATAAGCTCATCCCGATGTTACTCTAATCAAGAGTTTTCATTTGAGTACCCACATGCATTTTTGATATATTTTTGATATATATACATATATGTAATATATATAAATATATAAAGTATGTGAAAAATTGATGTGGGTACTCAAATGAAAGGTCTTGATGAGTATATTATCAGAATGAGCTTATATCTTTAAAAATGTCAATAGTTAAGAAATGACCTTGTATCTCGTAAACTATTAACATTTTCGAAGATATAAGCTCATTCTGATGTTACACTCATCAAGAGCTTTCATTTGAGTACCCACATGCATTTTGATATATTTTTCATATATTTATATATATATAATATATATAAATATATGAAAAATTGATGTGGGTACTCAAATGAAAGGTCTCGATGAATGTAACATCAAGATGAGCTTATATCATTAAAAAGGTCAATAATTAAGAAAATACAGTGCAATTTAACAAAAATCACTATTTAATAAAGCAAAATTTTATTTATTTATATTTCACAAGTCACATAGTGCCTGCAAGGTTGCTAGTAGATTATTAATTAACTTATTATTAGAGCCATTATATAAATAGATGTCTTGATTCGCTCGGAAGAATTGCTGGATCACAATATTAAAAGTTCTATTTAAAATTAATTATCATCAAGTAAAGCTTCAACTGTTATCCTCTCAATTATTAATTACAATTTTCCTCCAATAAAATTACTCAATAGTTACACATGTATATTTAATATATATTTAAATATTTAATTATGAGGTTTAAAATTTCAACAATCGATCAAGAATATAAGTATATATATTTATAATTATATTTATATTAAAAACTTTCATATGGCAACTGGTTTGTATTATATTTTTAAATATCGAACAATACTAATATCTATTTTATGTTTCTCACATAAATAATTAAATAATAATATTACATTTTAAATAAATTCATTTTTTTTCCGGTCTCTAACTTTCAGTTTATGATTATAAAAATAATTTTCATACTTGAGATCAGTGTATGTCTATATATCTACATTATTCTGCAATTAATCAATTAATAATACACAAAATTCAATAAAAAAAAATACAAGGAATGTTTTAAACTATTTCAATTAATAGTAGGTACTAAGACCTAAAAAAAAAATATTATTAGATATTTTTTTAGTAAAGTAAGTATGAAAAAATTACACTATCTATTTTTTTAGAATATACTATGGCCGTTTTTTTTTTTTTTTTAATTATCAGTAACGTTAAACGTAAAATATTTACAAACATTTAATTTTAATAATTTAATAATTTTGTTTGTAAATTTATACCTTTTTTTTTTTTAATATAATAAATAACAAGGGGTTAAGGAAATCCTAATTTTAAACTGGAGATAATGCACTGTTGGTTATCGATTTTAGACTCGCACGATCAAAATAAATTTAATTTAAATAAATTAATAATTAATTTTAAAAATAACAAAGTATCACATCAATTTCAAAAACTGACTCTATAATTATTGTGCGTTAAAATTTTAAAGAAAAAAAAAATAAATATATCCTGATATGAATTAATAATAATAATAATAATAATAATTATAAATTAATGTATTAAAGTTTTGTAGCACCTCCTGGTTTGGCCTGAGTTCGTCGCCGGGCTAATTCGGACATGACAACTGGCCCAATGTGTGGCGATCTTGGATTATTCGACATTGCTTTGTAAGTCTCTGCTACTGCAGTCTGAAAAAAAAATCAATAAAATAATTATTTTTTTTTCTTGTAAGCTTGTTAATGTTATAGAGAAAAAATATTCCTCTGGGACACAAACAAGTATTGATTAGTAAAACATTGCTCGCTTGTAGAGATTATAATCTATTAGGATAAAACCCTACGGAGAGTCGAGGTACTCTTAATTTATATTCTATTTAAATAATTGATTTTTTTATATTTAATTGGAGTGTTTTATTTTACTTTATTTTGTTGGAAAGATTTAATGAAGTACCTTGAGACTCAAAGGATCGATAACAGCTTCAGGCAAGTATTTTTGCGGAAGACGATGGCGATTTGCGATCCACGAGTATTTTAATATAGCCGCAGCTGTTGGTCTCCTGTGTGGATCGATATGTAGCATTCTGAGAACAAGGTCTTTAGCTTCGGTGGATATATGTGTCCAGATACCGTTGTCGACATTCACGAAACCGAGGCCAATGCGATTTAATATGTCACTTGCGGTGTCTCCTGGACTATTTGGAAATGGAGTACAGCTATAAAAAAAATATAAAAATTTATTAATCTATATTTTTAAGAGAATAAGAAAAATTTTGTTTTATCTTGTAAACTATTGACATTTTTAAAGATATAAGCTCATCCTGATGTTATACTCATCGAGACCTTTTATTTGAGTACCCACATCAATTTTTCATATATTTTATATATTTATATATTTCACAAATACCATATATATAAAATATGTAAAAATGTCATGTGGGTACTCAAATGAAAGGTCTCGATGTGTATCATCGGGATGAGCTTATATTTTTAAAAATGTCAATAATTAAGCAATTACCTTGTATCTCGTGAAATATTGACATTTTTAAAGACATAAGCTCATCCCGATGTCCGGTGTTATACTCATCAAGACCTTCATTTGAGTTACCCACATCAATTTTTCATATATTTATATATATTACATATATGTATATATGAAAAATATATAAAAATGCATGTGGGTACTCAAATGAAAGGTCTCAATGAGTATAACATCGGGATGAGCTTATGTCTTTAAAAATGTCAATAATTAAGAAATGACCTTGTATCGCATGAACTATGGACATTTTTAAAGATACAAGCTCATCCCAGTATAACACTCATCAAGACCTTTCATTTGAGTACCCACATCAATTTTTCATATATTTATATATATTACATATATGTATATATGAAAAATATATAAAAATGCATGTGGGCACTCAAATGAAAGCTCTTGATGAGTATATTATCCGGACGAGCTTATATCTTTAAAAATGTCAATATTCAAGAAAGTACAGAGCAATTTAACAATAGTAATTTTTAATTAAAAAAAAAAGTTTTCCAATTTTCAAAAGTGAAATTTTTTTTGTCACAATTTTTGATTATTAAAACCTTATAAAGGCTATATATAATTATTAAAGATTGTAAAAATTTTTTAATTTAAGTATCATCATAAAAAAAATGTTCTTTAATGTTTGTAATAAAAAAGTTAACAGCCAATAATGACAAGAATATCTATTACCCTCATAAATAAATAATTAAACTCACCCGGCCAACATAATGTATAACAAGACCCCGAGAGACCATATATCACAAGCAGCGTCATAACCCTGGCGTTTAAGGACTTCAGGCGCAACAAAATTAGCCGTGTAACAGGGTGTCATCAATAAACCATTCTCAGCCCTGAGTTGCTTGGCAAATCCTAAGTCACAAATACACAGCGTGCTTGGATCCCCGCCTGGTTTGGCATACAGAATATTTGACGGCTTTAAATCCCGATGAACCACGCCGTTCTCGTGTAAATAATTAACAACACTGGTGATAGTATAAATAACCTCAGCAGCTTCGCGCTCTGAAAAATTGCGTCGTTGTATCAATCGATTAAGCAGCTCTCCGCCTCTTAGGAGTTCCAGGACAAGATAGACCCGGCGTTCGTCCTCGTGGACAGCACGGAGAGAGACAATGTGCGGGTGACGGCCGTAGCGGAGTAAAATTTCTATTTCTTCAGTCGGGTCTCGCTTAATTTTTTCGATTACTTTAACAGCGTACTCTATTTTAGTAATTTTATGCACGGCGCGGTAAACAGTGCTGTAACTTCCGTTTCCGATCTCTTCTTTTATCTCATACTCGTCGCGAATTGGAGTGCGACTCACGTAGGTGGGAAACGCGTTCCCGATGTTCTCGCAGCTCATTATCTCCGGGCTCTTGGGGTTTTCCTCCAGCAGACCCGGAGCTACAAAACTAAACCCGCGGAATAATTCATGGGCGTTTGCACTCGGTGGAAGACCTGGAGAGTCTCTAGGTGTCTTGCACGTGAATTCGCTGTCGAAGCAAAATGCGTCGTCTTCGCGACTCACTGCTGGCTTGAAAGGCGGGACTACTTCTTTTCGGTACAAAGCCTCCCAGTCTATCGACGAGAAAAATGGATGGCTTTTTATTTCTTCGACTCCGTCTGAAAAGATTAAATTTTTTTTTTTGTGAGAAGAATAATTTATGAAGTGTCAATAGACTTATTACTTATAGATTTAGAAAGTCTCTGGGAGATAGGGGATAAATAAAAATAAATAATTAATATTACTGCTCCCAATCCGATTTGCTGGATTTCTTTTGAAGAGGACACGCAAAAGTGCTTGGGCGTCTTGAGATATATTGTAGGGCATTCCAAGCTTAGCTTTTAGAATTTGAGTCATTGTTTCTTTTCGGTTTACGCCTTGGAATGGCAGTGCTCCCGTTAGCATTTCAAACTGAAATAAGTAAGATAAATTTTTTCTGGTATTTATATAATAAAATTAATTTTTTAAATAAAATTTTGCTTTATTAAATAATGACTTTTGTTAAATTGCACTGTACTTTTTTAACTATTGATGTTTTTTAAATATATATGCTCATCCTGATGTTACACTCGTCGAGAGCTTTCATTTGAGTACCCACATGCATTTTGATATATTTTTCATATATACGTATATATAATATATATAAATATATGAAAAATTGATGTGGGTATTCAAATGAAAGGTCTTGATGAGTGTAACATTGGTATGAGCTAATATCTTTAAAAATGTCAATAGTTCACGAGATACAAGGTCATTTCTTAATTATTGACATTTTTAAAAATATAAGCTCATCCCGATGTTACACTCATCGAGATCTTTCATTTGAGTACCAACATGGCATTTTTTACATATTTTATATACATGGTATTTGTGAAATATATAAATATATAAAATATATGAAAAATTGATGTGGGTACTCAAATGAAAGGTCTAGATGCGTGTTACTTCGAGATGAGCTTACATTTTTAAATAATCATTAGTTAACAAGATACTATGTAATTTCTTAATTATTGACATTTTCCAAGATATAAGCTCATCTTGATGTTACACTCATCAAGAGCTTTCATTTGAGTACCCACATGCATTTTTATATATTTTTCATATATACATATATATATATATATATAAATATATAAAATATATGACAAATTGATGTGGGTATTCAAATGAAAGGTCTTGATGAGTGTAATATCGGGATGAGCTTATGTCTTTAAAAATGTCAATAGTTCACGAGATACAAGGTAATTTCTTAATTATCTATCTAATAATAAATAATTGGGTATAAGTACCCAAACTATGTATAGTGCCACAAATATAAAAAATCATCAATATTTTGAAATAAAATTGATTAGTACCATTAAAACACCAAAGCTCCACCAGTCAGCAGCAAATGAATGTCCTTGACGATTAACAACTTCTGGTGCCATATACTCAATAGTTCCACAAAATGAGTACGAAGTTTTAGTGTCATCTAATGGCTGCTTGCTTAATCCGAAATCAGTTAAAGACATGTGTCCATCGGCGTCTAATAGAATACTGTAATAAAATAATTAATTTATTTATTTATCAACTAATTATTAATCTAATTGATTAAATATTAAATGTAAAAGTTAAAATTACTTTTCAGGTTTTAAGTCTCTATAAATAATCCCAAGTTTATGGATATGATCTAATGCTAGTGCTAATTCAGCTAAATAAAATTTGACATCTTCTTCAGTAAACATTACCTGAAAAAAATCAAATAATTTTTGTCATTAATTTAACTTATTAATTAAAAAAATTAATAAGTTTTAGTTACCTCTTTGGACAGACGTGAAAAAAGATCACCACCTCTCAAAAAATCGAGGATTAAATATAATTTACCTTCCGTTTGGAAGGCATAGTGTAAACGTACAATAAATGGATGTTCAACATCTACTAGAATATTTCTTTCTGTTTTAGTTCTGACCCTATCTCGCACTGAAATAAATAAATCAATCAATATCTATTGATAATTATAATTTAGTACAGTAAGAAGATATAAAAAGAAAATTAAGTTAATTTCTTTTGTAAAATAAAAATAAAAAATTATTTATAACAAAAAAATTATAATAAAAAATTTTTTATAGTAAAAAAAAAATCAAACTATTTATTTCTAAACATAAAATCTGCTTATAAGAAATAATTGTCAGGCGTAAGTTATTTTTAGTATCATTATTCATTATTAATATAATAAAAGCGATGAATAATAAAAATATAAATAAAACAAGTTACCTTTAAGTGTTGCTTTTTTCAAAACTTTCATAGCATACAAAGTTCCTTTATCTTTCCCGACAACTTTCCTGACTAAAAAAACTTTTCCGAAAGAGCCCTGACCGAGAACTTTAAGCAAATCGAAGTGACTTGGATCAGCTTTTTCATGGCCATCTCTTACAAGCTCGCAGACTTCAATCTCATGCGAATCAACAACACACCCATTATTAACATTTGAGTTGACAGTACAAGCGGCACTGTTAATTGACGATGATGAATGATTATTATCCATATCAATGTTGGATTGTGCCATAGCTGATATCGACAGTGGGTGATTGTCTGGGTGATGGTCTGTTGGATCTACATCAGGTGTTTGCTGTGTAATAAATAATCATAACAATTCTGATTAATTATTCATCATTTGTAATTGACAGTTGTAATAATTAAGTATTAATTATTAAACCAAACAAAAAAAAAATAATGAATGAATATTGATTAATTGTAATTGTAATTGCAATTGTTGTAAATTACCTGCTCGGAAACATGCTGTTGATTCCAAGGTACTGTTAAGTTTGCTAATGGCATTATAGTGTTAAATGTTTATTTATAAACGAGCAACAATGAACATCTGTGATAAATGGTAATTTAAGAGCTTGTTTTGTCTGTATTGACATTAGAACAACTTCGAACACTGGAGGTATGTGATTTATAAAATAAAAGATTTGCTCAGTTTTTTTATTATTGTTATTTTTAATTCTTTTTTTTTTTTTTTTTTTTAGTTAGAAATTTACCGGAAAATTTTTATATTTTATATTTTAATGTATGGAACATGTAATGATTTTTTAATTGCACTATGTGGGTTTAGTGCAGCAGTTTCACTTCTAGTAACAGGTGAATAAAAAAAATCGTCGAGAAAAACCGTAGAACCGGAACTGCGGTGATACTATTACTGACGTCAAAGGTTTTCTCACATATGTGATATGCGATGTGCGTTAAATCATAATAATTATAATAATAACACTAGGTGGGATGAAATGTATCAATGAAAAAGTTTTTAGTTAGTTTTCAGACTTACCTTCTGGTGACAGTTGGTAAATAAAATTTCTTCTTTGTCAATTTTGTTATACTAGAAATTTGAATTGCGCGCTGCGCGCGCGCCATAATTTTGACCAATAAGAAATCAGCTCCCATTTTGTTGCGAGTTTCGACTATTGACTAACTTCACACTCTTATGGATTTTTATTGTAGGCATTAGAAATTTTTTAATTATTTTAAAAAATGAAATTATCATTGAAAAAAATTAGTAAAAAAATTTCACAAGTGAAGCTTTTTTTTTTATTGTGATTTTTTATAAAAATTTAAAAAATTGGCAGCTGTCAGCTGACTTTAATATCATAGAAAATCCTATAAAATAAAAATGATATGTAAAAATTAAATTTTCCAATGTATTTAAAAATATATTTTATAATTATTTTTGAGAAAAATGTATAAAGTTTTTTTAGTAGTTAAACATCTGTTCATTTTGAAAAACTTTATTTTTGAATGAAAATTAAAGTAAGACATTTGACAATTTTTAAGATTTTTCTTGTTAAAAAAATTATATTTAAAAAATAAAAACAAATAATTTTACATGAAGAAAATTTAAAAAACTATAAGTGCAATTTTTAAAAATATGTCCTTATTATCAAAAAATTTGTATATATTTGCTGATTTCAGTGACATTTTATTTTATTCTAAAATTGTTTTCAAAAAATTTAATTAGCTATCATTTTTTTTTTATGTATTTACTACAATGTAATAATACTAGTTAGCTGAAGTTTTTAATTTTTTTTCAACAATTAAATTGAAATAAAAAAATATTTTATAAAAATTGCGCTTACAGTTTTTCAATTTTTTTACAAATGAATTTTTTTTGTTTTTTTGTTGTAAATTTTTCAATAATAGAAAACTTCTAAAAATTTTTAAATGTCGGCTAACTTATATAATTTTTATATTTTTTGACACATCAAGTGGAATTTAAAAAAAAAAAAATCCTAGAAATCATCAAATGTCAGCTGATTTCAGTATTTGAAAATTTATAAAAAAAAATTATATATATATTAGGAGGTATATAATCATAAACTGCACATATATAATTCTGATGGTAAAAACTTTTCGTAATACACAATAGCACTGGCTCAGGTTTTACGGATTTCACGTGCTTGTAACAAAAATAGTGAGGTGAAAATCCAAAATAATTATTTAAAAGAATATTGATTTACAAATTTAATTCAATTTTTAAAGTGATAAATCCGTTTTACTTTCAATTTTATATAAATAATTTAAGCTAAATATTTATATATACAAGTATTGCGACATGTTGTGACCGTCTAGGTACAACACGCATCCGCATACCGCTGGGTTTAACCAACAAAATTAAATTACATCAATGTAAAAATCAATTTTAAATTTACTGAATTTTTTTATGACATTTTAATTGTTTATTGTGATAAATACCAAGATGTACCGATTGTTAAAAATACCCCAAGTTCATTTGATGTGTGTGAGCAATTCATCTCAAGTTTATTACAATTCAGCTATTAAATTGTGTTCTTACTGCAGGCTAGAACATTCTATTCACTCAACAAGTATGATTTTTATTCTAATTATTTATTATTTATCAATTTTTATTTATGACACTAAAAACAGTTGACAGTTGACGATTAAATTTTTATTTATTAAATTAGAACTAAAAAAATTGCATTTATATTTTTTTAAGTTTTATACAAATTAAATTTTTTTGGAGTAATTTCTTCAATAAAAAAAATTCTCAAAATTTTTAAATGTCGGCTAACTTAATAAAAATTAAATTATATTGAAAAAAAAAATTCCACTTCATGTTTTTAATAATAATTATTTCTATTAAAATTTTTTGATACATAATTAATTGTTTTTTTTTTTTTTATAGAAAAAGGAATTTTACAAATACGACTTCAGTCGACGATAAATACTGTATTAGTACCATCAATACCAGCCAAAGTTAAACGTAAGCCGAAAAAATATACAGAATTATTAGAAGGTAATTTAAATGATTAATCAAAAAATTTAAATGATAAAATTTCTATGTATTGATTGTTTTATTTTAGTTACAGACAGCAATGTAAATAATCGAAAAGCGGCAATTCGTAAAATGAATGCATCACATTTATCATTATTAGTTGATAAGAATGGAAACAAACAATCAAAGCGATATGATAAAAATCCAAGTGAAAAAAATCCAATTTTACTCTCGACTACATCTCCGATAGATATAAATCATGATCATCGAATTCAAGTAGAATATCAGATTAATAAAAATTAATATTGTCTATTTTTCTATAAATTAATTTAATTTTTTTTTCAAATAATTTATTGCAGCTTAACGATGTAGATAATCCCCACGAAGAATTAGGAATAATGGAAGATTTACAATCATCTGGAATTTCAGACTCGGCTTCGTTAATTAAAAATATTTCTACTTTAGACGCAATACCGGAAGAGCACCTGAAAAATGAATTTGAAGATGAAGAACATGAAGAAGGGATACTTCAAAATTCCAAGTAAATATAATTATAATTTTACCGGATTATACTTAATAAATATAATTGAATTAAATAAAAAAAATTGTCATTTACAGAACTAACAAACGTAAGTCGACTAAAGCTCTTCAAAAAGAATTAAAATTGAAGAAAGAGTTGGGCAAGTGGCAAGTCGCTAAGCATCAAAATGAGCTGGAAAGTACAGTAAGGGCATTGAAGGCATACTTGAATGTTTGTCTCAACTGTAATATGATGGGTCGTGCATATCATACTGTAATGCACTATAGAAATAGATCGCCTCAGAATCACAAAAAAGTCCGCGAAATTTTAATTTATAATATTTTGCTGCAAGCCTATGCGTCGAGAGGTCAGTATTCGAAAGTTCATGACTTGATGGAAGTTATAAGAAAAGACCAATTGGTACCTAATGCACAAACCTATGCTGCAGTCTATGAGTGCTTTGGAAATATTAATGTTAATCTTAATAAAATGCGTGAGTATTAAATTTATTAAGGATTCATTCTGGTTACGGAGTTAAAAAAAAATATTTATTATTTTTTTACACAAAAATTATTATAGATATGAATATAAAATTTATTTAGTTTGACACATATATTATTGAAAAATTATAAATTATCTAACTTAATTTTTTTTTATATTATTTTTTATTTTTTATATTTAAGAAATTTTTTTTTATTATTGCAGAATTTTTAAATAAAATGTATGAAAAAATGAAGAAGAGTAATATAACATTTGACCAAGTATTAAAAGAATCAAGAACGAAAGTTAATCAATATAAGAATGTGCTCAGAGGAATTTCATTAATAGATCCAAATTTTGTACCAAAAATAGAAACTGAAAATGAATCTTATAGTTGTCAATTAGTGAAAAAAATTACACCAGAAACTGCAACTCATAATAGTCCTGCGGGAGGTTTGATGGAATTACCTGACTTGATGGACAGATTTGCCAGTCAAATCAAGTCTGAAATGGATGGTCATGTTATAATTGAAAGTATTGCAAAGATTGACACCTCTCATTCAACGGTATCATCTTATGTAAGTAATTATCTGACTAAGGTAAAAGACCGAGTTATTGACACTTGCAATTTTATTTTAATTTTAAAAAAAAAAAAAAAAAAATAGAGCTGCAATCGTAGGGACCGGTTGTTATGTATAACTTTTAAATAAATTATTTGTATTGATACAGAGAAAAGAAATCGAAAAGCTTGAAGAAAATTGGAGAAACGACATATCTTTGGCCTTTGATCGTGATTTAAAGGCTTTAAAAAAAAAAGAATACCACCCGATTCCAAGTGAAATGGTTCTGTACCCATATTTATGTGTACTGAACAAGGAAGAATATGTAAATGCGGTCATGCACGAGATTCGTAAGCTAGCAAATGGATCAGAATCTTTTAGCCCGTCTTTTAATTTACTCCGTAAGCGACTAGGCAAATTCATCAACGACAAATATGACGTATGTAAAATATAAAATTTTTTTATAGAATAGAATATAATTTTATTTGTATCACCATATTTAGTGTTTTACAAAACTGTTACCATATTACATTTACAAAAATAATTGCTTTTTACTCATTTTTCTTTGGTACACTCTTAGTTATTTATAAGTACACACCACTCTCTACACTACATTTTATTTTATTACACACTATTTTAAGTACACTCCTTACAGCTTTTATAACAAATAATAATTTTATACTATACAAAATTACTAGTATCACATTTCTGTTCTTACTCTTATAATTAATTTTGCATTTTTTAGTATACATTATATGTCCGCAGCGCCTTGACAATTTTTGTTATTTAGTGCTTTTTCTTTAAACACTCTTTCTACATCTCTTATAAATGTACATAAGTCTTTTTTTATCTCCCCTTTTAAAATTTCTATCATTAATTCACTGGAGACATCGTTATTTACCTCTTCTAGCCATTTATTTTTTGCTTGTTTGCCTTCCACTGTTATTTTTTCATGAATTTCCTTGCACTTTATAATGTGAATAATCGTTTCTTGCTCTTTTTCACAAATTCTGCACCCCCAGTTATTTTACCCTTTTTTTCCGTCCCTCCAAATATTACCGCATCGTAATCTAGCCCATATTTCTTTATCTTCACTTCTTATGTTGTCTCTTTTCCAATAGTTGTTGCTTTCCTCCGTTTTTATATTTTTATATAGCTCGTTGTAGGTGGATTTTTTTATTAGTATCTCCTCTTTTTCATCCAACATCCACTTATAATTTTCTAATCCGCTTTTTATTTTTTCCTCCACGTCGTCACTGCTGCAACCCTCATAAATCATTTTCGGTAGTTCTCCAATTCCTATTAATTTTTTTATATTTAAATAACTTAATCTTGAGAACTTGGACGATATATGAAGATGTTATTTTCATTTATTTTTGTTTTATATGTCAAATATCGACGGTTTAATTAGCAATTTATCTAACTCCTTATTTTTTTCGAGGGTGATTTTTTACATTTTGATGTAGCAATAGTTCAACTATAAATTATTTGAATGGTTAAAACCAAAATATTATACCTCTATTAGATATTAATATTAAATGATTTTTAAAGTGATAATAAATTTTTAACTAATTGTTTTTATTTCGTACGAATGGAAGATTCTCTAAAGTGGAGTTAGACAATTTGCTAATTAGAATAATATTTGTATTAATTAAAACTTTTTAATTTTTAGTTCGCCTGATCAAGCTGAAATAAATCAGCAAAATGTTGCAACAATTCTTATAATTTAACATCTTCATTTATTGTCCTAATTCCCAAGATTAATTTATTTAAATATTTTAAATAGAGAATTTAGATAGTAATTTTATTTAACAGATTTTAATAAAAAAACAATCTAAATATCCCGAAATATTGGGCAATGTTTATTCAAAGTACGGTCAATGGTACTTGAGCTGTACAAATGGACAAAACAGTCGTGAGAATTGGCACAAAATATCTCAAGAAGTATCCCCGAATTTCAGTCTAGAATTGGAATTATCTCAATGGCCGACAAATTTAAGCCGTCAGATTGGAAAATTTCTGTACAAAATAATTCTTAACGACGTTAAAATAGACACCAACAGTACAAGATTAGACCGCGACTCCCAAGATTTACGTCCTGCATTTTACATAGTATGGCGACACAACAACCGCAAGCACCTAGTAAAGGAAGTAAAACCTCACCCTACATTAGCTAAAATTTATCGAGGGTCAAATCCTGAAACTCTGAGTTTCGAGACAAATTTATTGCCATCAGAATGTCCTCCTCGTCCGTGGTCATCAATCCACAGTGGTGGATACCAGCTGCTCAAGTCGGACGTGATTAGAGTTCCTCTGTTCGCTATTGAGCAGATAAAGCGCCTGGAAGTAACACCACCGAGACAGCTGTGGCCTGCTCTGGACTGTTTGAACCAGCTGGGGTCAGTTCCTTGGAACATCAACAAGCCGGTGCTCGACCTGGCGATTAAAATCTTCCGGGAGGGAGGTTCTGTTAAATTAAACGTGCCTCAACCTCCATCAGTCCTAGGTTCAGGGCCGCTGTTGAGCCAAGACTCGACTCCGAATGAGAGAATCAACTCCAGGAGAGCTCAGATGGAACTCAATCGTAAAAAAAGCGAGATGTACTCTTTGTGGTGCGACGCGCACTATCGTTTGTCTTTAGCTAATCATTTTAGAGATAAAATATTCTGGCTGCCTCATAATATGGACTTCCGAGGCCGTGTCTATCCAGTACCGCCACATCTAAGTCACCTGGGCTCTGATTTAGCTCGCTCGATCATGATCTTCGCGCTAGGAAAGCCCCTGGGTCCGCGAGGCCTAGATTGGCTGAAGATTCACACCATTAATTTAACTGGATTTAAAAAAAGAGAATCTATTGCGGAGAGGCTGAGATACGCTAATGAAATTTTGGACAAAATAATTGACAGCGCTGAAAAGCCACTTGATGGAGAAATGTGGTGGGCGACCAGTGATGAGCCCTGGCAAACTCTGGCTTCTTGTATGGAAATTGCTGCTGCTTTGAAGACGCCTAATCCTGAAGAGTATGTTTGTAGATTTCCTATTCATCAGGATGGAAGCTGTAATGGGCTTCAGCATTATGCAGCACTGGGGAGAGATCAAATTGGAGCTGAAAGTGTCAACTTGTTCCCCAGAGATAAACCTCAAGATGTTTATAGTAATGTTGCGGCTATGGTTGATAAACTTAGGGCTGTCGATGCGGAGAATGGGTTGGAGATAGCAAAGATTTTGGAGGGGTTTGTTAAGAGGAAAATTATTAAGCAAACTGTTATGACCACGGTATATGGGGTTACTAAATTTGGCGCTCGGCTGCAGATTGCTCGCCAGTTAAAAGGTTTGTTTTTATAAAGTTTTTATTTTGATTTATTCAATAATGACTTTTGTTAAATTGCACTGTATTTTTTTAACTATTGATGTTTTTTAAGATATAAGCTCATCTTGATGTTATGCTCATCGAGAGCTTTCATTTGAGTACCCACATGTAATTTTTATATATTTCTCATATATACATATATGTAATATATATAAATATATAAAATATATGAAAAATTGATGTGGGTACTCAAATGAAAGGTCTCGGTGAGTGTAATGTCAAGATGAGCTTATATCTTTAAAAATGTCAATAGTTCACGAGATACAAGATCATTTCTTAATTATTGACATTTTTTAAGATATAAGCTCATCTCGATGTTACACTCATCAAAAGCTTTCATTTGAGTACCCACATGTAATTTTTATATATTTCTCATATATACATATATGTAATATATATAAATATATAAAATATATGAAAAATTGATGTGGGTACTCAAATGAAAGGTCTTGATGAGTGTAACATCGGGATGAGCTTATATCTTTAGAAATGTCAATAGTTCACAAGATACAACGTAATTTTTTAATTGTATCTAGAAATAGAGCATTTTTAAATGCAACCTAAATACTTTTTTTTTTTATTTATAGACCTCGATGATTATCCACAAGATAAAGTTTGGCCAGGTAGTTTGTATCTGGCACAAAAAACCTTTGAAAGTTTAAGAACAATGTTCGAAAGTGCAAGACAAATTCAAGATTGGTTCACTGATTGTGCTCAAGTAATAACGACAATTAATGGAAAGAACATGGAATGGGTTACTCCTTTAGGTTTGCCTGTGATTCAACCCTACAGCAAAGTGCTTCCTTCCAGAAATAAATTCACGGATATTGCGACTGATTTACTTCTGTTAGTATCATTTGTTAGTATTCTGTTTAATTAAATAATTAAATAATTATACATTGATTTTTTTTTTTCATTCTTTCAATAGGAAACCTAATACGTCAAAACAAAAAAACGCATTCGCTCCAAATTTTATCCATTCATTGGATTCATGTCATATGATGTTAACGAGTTTAAATTGCGAACACACTGGAATATCTTTTGTATCAGTACATGATTGCTATTGGACTCATCCCTGCAGCGTCGAAATCATGAATAGGGTAAATGATTTTAATAATTTAAAAGTAAAACTAAAATAATTAATTTAATAATTTTATTTTGATATTTTTTTGCAGATTTGTCGCGAACAATTTGTAGCTCTTCATTCAGAACCAATTCTTCAGGACTTGTCAAAATATTTCATTGATAAATTTACTTGTGATGAAAAGTAAGTGCTTTAATTTTGTATTCAATAAAAAAATTTTTCTAATTAAAAATATTAAATAATTTTTACCTAATTACAGGAAAATAGACGCGGATAATCTTGAAGAAATTTTATCGAAAGAAAAATTACATCGTACATTATCCAATGTTCCGAAAAGAGGAACATTTGACCTTAAAAAAGTTTTAGATTCAACTTATTTCTTCTGCTGATTAAATTCACAGATTGATGAATCTAAAATGTTTTTTTTTTTTATATTATTATTGACATAACAGTCATTGACATGAATTTGTATTATGTATGTAAATATTATGAATTTTTTTATTGTATTATGCTGTTTTTATAGTTATATTAAATATTGAATTTTAAAACAAAAACATCTTTATGATTTTTTATTTTAAGATAGTTGTCATGATTTAATATTGTGAAAAAATATATATTTTAAAGATATAAGCTCATCCCGATGTTACACTCATCAAGAGCTTTCATTTGAGTACCCACATGCATTTTTGATATATTTTTCATATATACATATACATAAATATATAAAATATATGAAAAATTGATGTGGGTACTCAAATGAAAAGTCTCGATGAGTTTAACATCGAGATGAGTTTATATCTTTAGAAATGTCAATAGTTCACGAGATACAAGGTCATTTCTTAATTATTGACATTTTTGAAGATATAAGCTCATCCCGATATAACACTCATCAAAAGGTTTCATTTGAGTACCCACATGGATTTTTGATATATTTTTCATATATATGTATATATAATATATATAAATATATAAAATATATGAAAAATTGATGTGGGTACTCAAATGAAAGGTCTTGATGAGTATAATGTCAGGATGAGCTTATATCTTTAAAAATGTCAATAGATCTCAAGATACAAGATCATTTTTTAATTACGTTTCTAGAGATAGAAAGATAGAGATAACCACAACTACCTTAATAAAAAAAAAATATTTCGGGAAAAATAACAATGTAATATTTAAGGGAATTAAATGGTACATTAATCTAAAATAAAAAAACAATTTATTAACGATATTAATTACAATAGTATATTTCTTCATGTGAAAAGCAATATTTTGTTTTTATTCATTTACTTTTTTACATATATCATCATTCCTTTCTCCTTTATCTCCATAATAAACCCATCAATTGTTATCATAAAAGTAAACGATAAAATAATAATAATATTAATAATAATAATAATAATAATAATAATTAATAATAATAATATAGTAATAGTTACTTGAATGAATCACAATAATTAATGAATTAAAAATCATTGCGAATAAAATAACCAGTCATTCATTCATCCTCAGCGGATGTTAAATCTTCTCACAATTACGTATACACACATATTATATTTATATATATTATATATATATATATATATTTTTTTTTCATTTATTTATTTATTTATATATTTATAATTATTTATCAGATTAATTTGTTCAGGATATAAGATATCTGAATACCTGTTCTTTACTCTTCGCTTAGTGTCCTTAAATTAATTAATTTAATTAATTTACCTTACTCGTTAATCTTTACAATAATTATCAATCATCCTCTAACAAAATGTCGAGCCAAAAAAAATATTCTACTTACAAACTTACTCTTAAAAATAATAATTAATAATTATTTAATCAACTAAATCACTGTACAAAAAAAAATGAACTGAAGAAATAAAAAAATTCTTCTTAAATAAAATTAATTAATTAATTTTTAATTAAAAATTTTTCCTCACAGTCCTGATTAATAATTAATTATTAATTTATACATATATCATTAACACACATTAAATATGTTTTAATTAACTTTTGCTATTAATTAATTAATTTATTAATTAATTAACTAGGCAATTTTTTTCCATGATTGAATTTTTAATTAAATTGCCTAAAATTTTTTCTAAGCAACAAAAAAAAAATAAAACGGACGGCTACGTGGAGTACGACGTCCCCGTAAATTAATTACGTTTATTTTTTATTTTATTTATTATTATTATTTATCTTTACATTACTAAAATAAATTCAACGTCGATCGAATAATACTTAAACGATATTTCAATAAGAGAAATGTCTTCTTATACGTCATCGATTCGATAGTATATATCACATATTCCAAGAATAACACCTCGAATGCACTCACTATTATTATTATTCAATAAATTTTTAATATTTATGATGAGAATAATAATAATAATAATGATTATTTATTTTACTCAATCCATTTTTGTTCTTAAAATTCTATATGTAACTTTATTTACTAATATATATATTTTTTTAATTAATTAATTCATTTTTTAGCTTCCAATTCTGCTTATGATACGATACGATTACGATTATTTATTATATTAACAGACTAAGGTGGGGGAAAAAACGATATTGTTATTTTTAGATATTTAAAATTGTGACTTAATTATTTATTGTTATGTCACTCGTGCCGCAATTCATTTTATTCGGCGATTGTTATTAATAATTGTTTTTAAATTAATGTAATGATTCAAGGGCATCGATTCTTCATTTCTTCATTGAAAAATTACCTAAAAATTTTGTAATTGCAAAAATGTGTATTGTTAAATTACTGAAGTTATTAATAAAATGCAGAAATATTTATAAACTTGTTATAAAGGAGAGATTGCCAAAAAAATAGGTTTCTTTGCTCAATCTCTAGACACATAATTAAGAAATGACCTTCTATCTTGTGAAATATTGACATTTTTAAAGATATAAGCTCATTCCGATGTTATACTCATCGAGACCTTTCATTTGAGTACCCACATCAATTTTTGATATATTTTTCATATATACATATATGTAATATATATAAATATATGAAAAATTGATGTGGGTACTCAAATGAAAGGTCTCGATGAGTTTAACATCGGGATGAACTTATTTCTTCAAAAATGTCAATAATTAAGTAACGACATTGTATCTTGTCAACTATTGACATTTTTAAAGATATAAGCTCATCTCGATGTTATACTCATCGAGACCTTTCATTTGAGTACCCACATCAATTTTTCATATATTTCATATATTTATATATATATATGAATATATGAAAAATATATCGAAAGTGCATGTGGGTACTCAAATGAAAGCTCTTGATGAGTGTATCATCGGGATGAACTTATATCTTCAAAAATGTCAATATTTAAAAAAGTACAGTGCAATTTAACAAAAGTCATTATTTAATAAAGCAAAATTTTTAGAGTTTGAAATAAAAGTTATTCAAAATGCCCTTAATCAAACAATATAATCAAAATTAAAAAAAAATCCTTTACTGCGTCAGAATTTGTTTATAAATATTTAGCGGCAAAGGCATCTCGTGACTATTGTGGTAAATTTATTTATTTATTTGTTATCTAGATTTATTCTCTGAATAGATAAATAAATAGCGATTGAATTTATATTTTTAATCATCTTACTACTTTTTATTTCTTCTAATCATTACTTTAATCTATAATCAGTACCATGGACGTTAGAACGATGACTTCATTTATTTATTTATTTATTATTATTTATATTTAGTAATACGATAGCTAAGGAAAATTTAACTGTACGTCTACGCTGTCGTATGCATTTAATATTTATAATAATTACTTGCAGAAAATATTTATTTTATAACTTTATTTACTTTAACTGCAGAACTCTTTTAAATTTAACTTTTTTTTTGTAATATAATTATTTATTAATTTATTAATCTAGTCACTTGTTTTATTACGAAACTATATTTTGGAAATTGTACGCGATACGGATATTTTTTTTTTTTTATTGATATTTTTAAGTAAATGCTGGCAAAATTGTATGAAACTAATTTGTTTTTATTTAATAATATATATTTATTTATTTACTTAATAATTTTTTTATTATATCTTTGCAATTTTTTTTTTAATTTGTGTTGCCATTCCCCCACCGTGTAAGAAAAAAATTTTTTCTGTTCTAATTATTAATCAATTTATTTAATTTCATCAACTCGGCATTAAACGAAGCACGTTAAAAACGCTCGCGAGGCAGAATTGGAAATTTTGAGCGTTAAAAAGAATAAAAAAAAAATATATTCTATTTTAATTATTAATTTTTTGATCAATTTTATTTCAAATTAATTAAATAAATAAATTTAAACTTGTAATTAAAATCTGTACAAAAATTTTTGATAAAAAAAAAAATGCTTAAAAAAAAAAATAAATAAAGAAAATAAAAAAAGAATCAGCCAATTATCACATGATGAAAATTAAAAAAAAAATTATCAATAAAAAAGGATTATTAATTAAAATAGAATATCGTCGAGTGAAAATGAAACATGATTGGAGTTTTAATTTAAAACGTTTTGGTACTCTAATTGTAGAGAGCAGAATCGTATCGTCTAAAATCAGCTTTCCAGGCCTAACATCTTGAGATATTTTAAAATTTAATAATAAGTATAAGTATAAGCAACTTTAAAACACTTATTATTTATTGTTGGTGGTGAAAATAAATTTAACAGCCGTCCTCGGACGGCTGGTTTGTTGATGAGGTTGTTGACAGTGTTGGTTGCTGATGTTGTTGATATTGCTGATGCACTTGGGCCGGATTTAATGGGTCTGATTGCTGATTTAGTATCATTGAAGCAGAATTATAGGATTGCTATTTTTTCGTAGGCGTTCCACGCTGTGTAAGGCCTTCGAAACGTTTGAATGTGTAATTTATGAAGACCCAGTCTTTGTATATCACCTCTCCGTCCTGGGGCAGTGGTGCTGAAGCTAAAACAGGTATTTATTATTTAGTTATTTTTAATAAAATAAAATTTAATTAAAAATAAAATTTAATTAAATTTTCAGGACAATGTACCAATTATTGACTTTAATAAAAATTTTTAAATTGTATAAAATTAATTTTTGACCTTCAGAAATAATTTGTTATTTAATTTATTAAAGCTAAAAATAATTTATAAAAAAAGAACTTACGTATTTCAAGTTTAACGTCAGGGAAATCATCAAAGTTAGATGTATCATCTATCGATTGGACTTCAACTGGTATCGCAGCGGGTCGTTCACGTATATGCTCCCAATCGACACCTCGGAAGAAAGGTGCTAATTTTAGTTCTTCAATACCTCTTTGAGATCCTTGAAAAAATAATAAAAAAGAAAAGGTCAATAGGAATTATGTAAATGAATCTAATTTTATCTATTTAATTAAAAAGTATACAAACACTATTAGAATGCTAATTGGAATTCAAATAAGTATAATTTAATTTACCTAATCTCCTGTCAGCTTCGCAACAGAATTTAATAATAGTATCTTTGGCCTCCTCGCTAATCGGCACTTCTGGTGGAAATATTAATGTCTCACGCCAATTCATTACTTTTCTATATGTTTCTTGTGGGTTTTCACTGCAGAACGGAGGATAACCTGAAACATTTTTATGATTTTTCAAAGTTAAATTTTGATACATAAAATAAATATAATGATTGAAATATTCTTTAACAAGCATTCACAGAATTGAATTATATATCATTTTTAAGTGTAATAATGAATAAATAATGAACTTTGGTAATTGCACTGTACTTTTTTAACGATTGACCTTTTTAAAGATATAAGCTCATCCCGATGTTACACTCATCAAGAGCTTTCATTTGAGTACCCACATGCATTTTTATATATTTTTCATATATACATATATATATAATATATATTTTAAAGATATAAGCTCATCCCGATGTTACACTCATCAAGAACTTTCATTTGAGTACCCACATGGCATTTTGATATATATTTCATATATACGTATATATAATATATATAAATATACAAAATATATGAAAAATTGATGTGGGTACTCAAATGAAAGGTCTTGATGAGTGTAACATCGGAATGAGCTTATATCTTTAAAAATGTCAATATTTCACGAGATAGAAGGTCATTTCTTAATTATCTATCTAGAGATAAAGCATTTTTAAATGCAGCCTAAATATTTATCATATAAATTGACTATTATTTACCTATTAACATTTCATACATAATAACACCAAGAGACCAACAGTCACAAGCTGGCCCATACCCAGTCTGCAAGAAGACTTCTGGAGCAATATAATCGGGTGTTCCAACCGTACTGTACGCCAATGCTCGTCTATTTCTTTTCCAACTTTCAGCTCGTCTTTTACTGTCCATTGCACCACCGCTGCCACTACCACATGACGTCACTAAAAACAAAGTGTAATTAATAAAACAACACCTGCATAGAACAAAAATTAATTAATCAATAATAATAAATATTTACTAAAGTCAGATGGCTTAGCTTGACTGAGATCCCTATAAAAATCAGTTCTGTGCGACTTTTTAAGTCCCGTACATAGGCCGAAATCCGATAATTTAATGTGACCCCGTGCATCAAGCAACAGGTTGTCTGGTTTAATATCTCTGTAATAAATAAAATAATAAATATTTATATTTATAATTAATAATAATTATTTAGACAGGAGTATAAATATTTATAAGCATTACCTATGTATAAAACCTAATTTATGAATAGAATCAATAGCTAACGCCGTCTCGGATATATAAAATTGAGTGCACTCCTCTGAAAGTGTATCTTTCTTCATTAGAAGCGTCATCATGTCGCCTGTAACGGAGAAATATAAATAAAAAATAACGGATTTACTGTGTTGACTCATCTACTATTCTCAACTTTATCACGTACTGCTTGTAAAGCTTTTTATTTATTCTCTTCTGTTTATTAATAATTAAATTTATTCATTTTCTTATATTATAGAAGATTAAAGTATTAAAATAATAATAACTAGCAACCTTACAGTCACTATGTGACTGCAGTGACTTGTAAACTACAAATAACAAAAAATTTTACTATTAAATAATGAATTTCGTTAAATTGCAGTGTACTTTCTTGAATATTAATGTTTTTAAAGATATTAGCTCATCCCGATGTTCCACTCATCAAGACCTTTCATTTGAGTACCCACATGCATTTTTTATATATTTTTCATATATTCATATATATAAATGTATGAAATATATTAAAAATTGATGTGGGTACTCAAATGAAAGGTCTTGAAGTTCATAATGTTGGGATGAGCTAATATCTTTAAAAATATCAATAGTTCTCAAAATACAAGCCCGTTTTTTAATTATGTTAAATTGGACTGTACTTTCTTAAATATTGACGTTTTTGAAGAAATAAGCTCATCCCAATGTTACACTCATCGAAACCTTTTATTTGAGTACCCACATGCATTTTGATATATTTTTCATATATACATATATATTATATATATGAAATAAATGAAAAATTGATGTGGGTACTCAAATGAGAGGTCTCGATGAATGTAATGTCAGGGTGAGCTAATATCTTTAAAAATGTCAACAGTTCATAAGTTATAAGCTCATTTCTTAATTATTGACATTTTTAAAGATATAAGCTCACCCTGATGTTACGCTCATCGAGACCTTTCATTTTCTTAATTATTGACATTTTTAAAGATATAAGCTCACCCTGACATTACATTCATCGAGACCTTTTATTTGAGTACCTACATGGCATTTTTTATATATTTTATATATATGGTATTTGTGAAATATATAAATATATAAAATATATGAAAAATTGATGTGGGTACTCAAATGAAAGGTCTCGATGAGCGTAACATCAGGATAAGCTTATATCTTTAAAAATGTCAATATTTCACGAGATACAAGGTCATTTCTTAATTATATATCTAGAGATAGAGTATTTTAGAATGCAGCCTAAATACTTATCATAATAAATCAACTATAAGTGAGAATAATATGAAACTTTGAAAAGTCACTAATTTAAATCAAGACCTTTGCAATGACACTAAATTTCACTAAAAAAACCGATTTATCATATGACTATCCTGGACACAAAGTTTTTCTTATTCTCTTAATGATATCGATAATAATTACCTCCAGGTAAAAACTCCATTATCAAATATAAATTAATTGGATCTTGAAAACTGTAATACATTTTAACAACCCATTGGTGATCTGCTTCGACGAGTACATCTCTTTCAGCTCTTACGTGTGCAACTTGTTCTTTTTCAAGCATATCTGCTTTTCTTAATATTTTCATTGCGTAAACGTGACCGGTATCTTTTTTCTGCACTAGTCTTACCTGTAAAATAAAATAAATAATTTAAAATTAGAGACTAAAGAATAAAATTTAAAGCGCATGAGGGTAGAGTAATGATTGATTGTAATAATAGTATTGAAGAAAATAAAATAATAAAAAATAACCTCGCCAAAGGCACCACGACCGATGACCTTGAGTGGTTCAAAGTCTTCGACACCGAGTCTGGATCGCTTCAAGCGAAGAAACTCTGTTTCTTTTTGCGCATGCTGAAGCCTTTTCTCCTGTTTCTGCTGCTCGGATAAACCCTCATCTTTCAATGATTCCTCGAGTTTTGCTAGCCTTTGCTTTCGCTCAATATGTTGGGCTATTAAATTGCTGTAGTAGTTTTCTAATGTCACCTATAAATAAAATATAAATAATATTAGATTTTATTTTACTTAAAAAAATTAATAGATTAAATTTATTTACATTTTTGTTGGGCAAACAGTTACAGTAATTGTTGTAATAAAACTCTATGAGGACAGAAATAACTCAAAAACTTTTTAGGTAATTAACTTGAGTTTTATTTGTTGAAAGGAGAGAAAATATTTGCGGGGTAATCAATCTTTAAACTTTTATAGTTTCTTAAATTCTTGAATTTTTCAAGAGCTAGGGAATATAAGAAAGTTACTTCAATTCACTTAAGGTTTTTCAGTGTCAGAACATCAACAAACTTTTTTTTAAAGTTTTGTAGGTTGAATGATATAAAGAATTTAATCTTCTTTGAAAAGAAAATATTTTATACGAAAAAGTTATTTTCTTTTGAAAATGTTTTATTTTTTTTTTTTCATTGTAATTTTACTAAAAATTTATTTTTATAATTTTTTATTACTATTATAAATTAATGACATTTAATTAATAATGATACTTGTTAAATTGCACTGTACTTTTTTAAATATTGACATTTTTAAAGATACGAGCTCATCCTGAAGATACTCTCATCAAGAGCTTTCATTTGAGTACCTACATCATTTTTTCATATAATTATATATATGTATATATGAAAAATATATCAAAATGCATGTGTGTACTCAAATGAAAGCTCTTGATGAGTGTAACATCGGGATGAGCTTATATCTTCAAAAATGTTAATATTTCACACGATAAAAGGTAATTTCTTAATTACTGATATCACACATGCGTTTTTGATATTTTTATTTTTCATATATACATATATGTAATATATATAAATATATAAAATATATGAAAAATTAATGTGGGTACTCAAATGAAAGGCCTTTACGAGTGTAACACTGAGATGAGCTTATATCTTAAAAAATGTCAATATTCCAGAAGATAAAAGGTAATTTCTTAATTATTGACATTCTTGAAGATATAAGCTCATCCTGACGTTACACTCATCGAGACCTTTCATTTGAATACCTACATGGCATTTTTTATATATTTTATATATATGGTATTTGTGAAATATATAAATATATGAAATATATGAAAAATTGATGTGGGTACTCAAATGAAAGGTCTCGATGAGTATAACATCGGGATGAGCTTATATCTTAAAAAATGTCAATAGTTCTCAAGATACAAGGTCATTTCTTAATAATTCTTTTTTTAAACTAAATAATAATAAAGCAATTGAATAAAATAGTAAACTAATTAAAAATTTAGTAGAAAAAAATCAGGATCATTAACAATTTTAACATCAAGATATAATAATGCAGTAGATAAGTATATAAACAGTACCTTTGCCTTGGTAGCTTTATCTAATGTGTGGCCACTGAAACGTATCGTGCTTTCTGTCGCGGCCATCTCCAATACCCCTGCAACAGGTAAAATAAAAACATTACACATCTTTATTTAAATATTTATTATTATTATTATTTAATTTTAAGTTGTACATTGACTGTATTTGCGACAAAAAATTGTGCAATGTACAAATAAATAAGAGAAAAAATCGGAGCTAAATAAGTAAAATTAAAAACATATAATATATTGTCGATAAATGTCACATGAATGCGGGTCAAAAATGACAAGGACTCTTATGTGGGTAGACAGATGCATAAACTCGCGAAGCGGATATCTGGTATAAGAATGGAGGGTAATATATACCCAGTACTCAGTTTGTCTTCTCCGTACACTGACGTTGACATAACGACCTACGTGAATAATTTTGTACTGTAAATTACTTCACATTACATCCATACGCACTCTTTTTATTTATTCTTTCATTTTTGTTTATTTTTAAAAAGGGCCATTCGCAATTAAACTCTTATAAAATTGTCCAGTTGCTTATTCAATAAAAAAATATCTGAGAGTTTTTTTTTTCCAAAAATTCCAGATCAATAATAAATTAATTTATGTCAAACTCACAATACAATCATTTGAGGCGTGTTCACATAAAAATTTAAAAGTTAACAAACAGTTACTCTTTCACACATAACAATAACACGGGTATTTTATGAGAAAAACTTAATAAATAATAGTTTTAAACAAGAATTTCAACACAATGACAATTTTATAAATAACAATGTTCTTAAACATAAAGTAGAAAACTTCAGAGTTTTAAATAAAATTTATTCTTAAATTCCAAGAGAAACTTCAATTAATATTATACTTTTCCTAGTTTTCAAAATAATATTTATAATTTCTCAATAAAATAAAATAATTTCACCTAATTATTTATTATTCGGAAAATCATGATTAAATTGACAGTGTAGGCGCAATAGGATATCCGTGTACACAATCACGTGATTATCTTTTATTTATTTTATCAAATTATTCACTTAATTTATAATGAGAATTTACGAGAAAGTAAAATAAAGTAATCAAAGAAAATAGTTGTTGAATTAAAATAAATTCGTCTTGTTAAATTACTCTGTAATCATGATTATATTCTTCTTATAATTTTTAGCTCTAGGCTCTAGTTGCGCAAAAAAAAAAAAATTTTGAACACTAAAAAAAAAATAATTAGAATCAAGACAAAAAATTATTGAATTAAATTCAATCAATCTGAAGACTTAATTACTCTGCAATAAATTATTTATTTGATGAATTGGTAAATATTTAAAGTTCCAATATAATATACCATGAAAATTAATGTGGGCGTAGATATTAAATCGCTTTCTTCGCTCTCGTTCTATTCGAATACCAGCAAACCCCGATAACGATTCCCTGTTGTACGAAACGCGTGTGTTTGACAAGTAAACATGCATATATAATGAGTAATGCTACTGCGGTATGTAACACGTGCACTTAGAGTAAGAGCAAGAATAAGAATAAGAGTAATAAAAAAATTGATAAGAATTTACTACTGACTTCGGAGTGCACACTTTATAGAGTAGAGCATGACTGGTTAATAGTTTTACAAATTAACAGATAATGTCGACGAGATTATTAAAATTTATAAGTCGAGAGTACGCACGCAATGCTATCATGAATTTTATTAAAAATTTATTTTGTTTTGTGGAAAGTGTCGCGGTCACATGTCAATTATTTTTATTTTTTAGGTCACACATTTTTCTTTTTTATTTTTTAGATAGGTTTAGTAAATTATTGTATAATTATTTTAAAAAATAAATTATATAAAACACTATTTATGAATTAAATATGGAATTTTTTTTTAAATTAAAAAGCTAAATTGATTAGATGATTAATTTTTACTAGCAACTTTGCAGTCATTATGTCACTGTTGTTTTATTAAACTAGAATTCAAATTTACGCGCGCAAGCGCGCGTCTGACTATAGAGTTTGCATATATTTTCATACTTATGATATATTCGACCAATCACGTTACGAATAGTTTGATGCCACATACATTTCACCTCAATTTTATATTAGGACTAGAATTTAATTTTCGCGCGCAAGCGCGCGCGTCATATTTTTTGTCATGATATATTTATGTGTCGTTTATGTATACTATATTCACTTTCAACCAATCAGAATGAGAATATTTATTTTCGACCAATCACATCACGAATAGATTGGTTTCACATACATTTCATCTCAATTTTATTATGGGACTAGAATTCAAATTTGCGCGCGCAAGCGCGCTTGACCGTAGAGTTTGCATATATTTTCATGCTTATGATATATTCGACCAATCACGTTACGAATAGTTTGATGCCACATACATTTCATCTTAATTTTATATTAGGATAATGAATTTTGTTAAATTGCACTGTAATTTTTTAACTATTGACATTTTTTAAGATATAAGCTCATCCTGATGTTACACTCATCAAGAGCTTTCATTTGAGTACCCACATGCATTTTCATATATTTTTCATATATACATATATATAAATATATAAAATATATGAAAAATCGATGTGGGTACTCGAATGAAAGGTCTCGATGAATGTAGTGTCGGGATGAGCTTATATCTTTAAAAATGTCAATATTCCAGAAGATAAAAGGTAATTTCTTAATTATTGACATTTTTGAAGATATAAGCTCATCCTGACGTTACACTCATCGAGACCTTTAATTTGAGTACCCACATGGCATTTTTTATATATTTTATATATATATGGTATTTGTGAAATATATAAATATATAAAATATATGAAAAATTGATGTGGGTACTCAAATGAAAGATCTCGATGAGTGTAACATCGGGATGAGCTTATATCTTTAAAAATGTCAATAGTTGACAAAATACAATGTCATTTCTTAATTATTGACATTTTGAAAGATATAAGCTCATCTTGATATTACATTCATCGAGACCTTTAATTTGAGTACCCACATGGTATTTTTTATATACTAGAATTTAAATTTCCGCGCGCAAGCGCGCGCCTTGACTATAGAATTTGCATATATTTTCATGCTTATGATATATTCGACCAATCACGTTACGAATAGTTTGATGCCACATACATTTCATCTCAATTTTATATTAGGATTCTATATATATGGTATTTGTGAAATATATAAATATATAAAATATATGAAAAATTGATGTGGGTATTCAAATGAAAGGTCTCGATGAGTGTAATGTCAAGATGAACTTATATCTTAAAAAATGTCAATAGTTCACAAGATACAAGGTTATTTCTTAATCCAGAATAAAAAATTTTTCTTATTCTCTTAATAATATAAATAAAGTTAAAGTAGGTCAATGAAATTATATTTATTAATTAAAAAAAAAAAAATATAATTTATAGTAACGCATTTTTATAAAGTGATTTATGGTGGCGATTGATCAAAGGGATGATAAATAGTCTGTGACAAAATAAACATTACATTGGGGCTAAGTGGAGGAGAAATGACTTATTATCGGTTCCTTTCTTTGAGATCACTACCAAAAATCATTTATTCTTGCTGTAAGGGTGAATTTTATATCTTTAGAAAAAACTAGATTTATTGATTTAGTAATTTAAGATTTCAAGATAATGGACGGTAGTAATTTATTATAAAATTAATTCTTGATAAATTGTAATATAAAACTGTATTTGGTAAAGGAGTTCAGCTTAAATAATTTTTTATTCCATTTTCGTTAAGACTTTTCACTGAACTGGGTTATTTTAAAATATGATAATTTTTTATAATAATTCTAAGAATAGATTGGTATTTATAAAGAAGCTATAAATATGATAGACATTTTTATTTTTTAAATGAATTATCGATTTCTTTTAATAGCGATATTATTGATGAACTTAATATGTTTGACAATTTAACAGTTCATTGGTCGCGCAGTGAGCAATTTACTTTACTGGCGCGACAAAACTCTCTTGATGAAACTTGCTAGACAGCAAGACTAAAAGCATCGCCAACGGAAGATTAAACTTGATTTTGTATAATTTTTTAATTAATTATTACAATTTTTTCCTTTTTTTTTTTTTGTAAAGTACACGCTTTTAAGACTCAAGATTCAGCTTGTTATTAAGTGTAAGAGACTCTGAGTAAATTATTTAGTACGTCAACTGTAATCTAGAGTAAATCAATTCAAAATTTGCTTGATAAAATAATAAATCAATTTTTTTTTGTGTGCTTAGTTAATAAAATTTTATTATCCAACTCTAAAAAAAAAATTAGAGCAAATTTTTGTTGAACATTAAACTAATTTTTCTTAACTTTAATCAATTTCTAAAGCAGAATCATAATATTAATAATGCAAAAAATTGAGTTTCCCTATTACGAACGCTCTGTAACGATTTTTCTCTAGCGTTATTTCATTTAATTATTTACAGTGAAGTAACGAAAATCAATATTTTCAGTTGAATTTTATACCGACGGAAATATACTTCAATAATAATAATATTAGAGTTTAAAAATGCATTTTCATTAAATGAAACCAAGAAAATATTTATCGTGCAGAAGCAAACTCTATTTTAAATTACCTCCTGTCGTTTACTTAACATTTTTATGCTCATAAAAAAATTGTTAGCAGTACCCATATTAAAACCACCAATTAATATTAAAATTTTTTATAAAGCAGACAAAGTTTGATATTAATATCTTATGTTCTTCGTTTGAAAATTATAAAAATTCAAATTTAAATTTCTTTATTTTTAATCAAACAATATATACTAGCAACCTGGAGTCACTATGTGACTGCCGAGAAATGTGAACTATAAATAAAAAAAAATTTTGCTTAATTAAATAATGACTCTTGTTAAATTGCACTGTACTTTTTTAAGTATTGACGTTTTTAAAGATATAAGCTCATCCTGACGTTACACTAATCAAGAGCTTTCATTTGAGTACCCACATGTCATTTTTTATATATTTTATATATATGGTATTTGTAAAATATATAAATATATAAAATATATGAAAAATTGATGTGGGTACTCAAATGAAAGGTCTTGATGAGTGTAAC